GGGATTGCTTTGAAGCCCAACCCTGGCTTCTGCCGGGGGTCCTGAAGATATAGCCGGGGCATAGAAATGTCCTAGCCATAGATATGGCCTAACGGCTAAAAGAGGTTTGTGGGACCTCTACACGGGTGATCCTCATCCTCATGGTGGTACTCTGTATCTCCGGGTGTTTATAGCTTGTGTGAGGTCCTGGTGGGGTACAACTACCTACCTAGTGCCGAACCTGTTCTGGTATATGGCAGTGAATACTGAAATGTGAACAGATCAAAACGAAATGCGTTGCCTAAACACAAACTATGCCCAGGAAGCTTAACGGATGAGGGCAAACTGAGGAGGGGGGACACGCTTTGAATCATGCTGCACCTGGTATTATAAAATGTGCGTTTACAAATTCGTGCCGATGTTCAGAACAATTATATCTCTATCATCATTATCATCATCAGGTGCCTTGCCGACTGGCGTGGGGCGATCATGCCTCTCCATAATCTGCGATCTCCTGCAGCATGTATCAGTCCGTGTGCCGACACACCTCCATGCCATGCAACAAGACTGTCAAGCATCTTCTCTCGTTGTCTTCCTCTATCTCTCCTTCCACATATCTTTCCAGTGGTCACAACATGTTCTGTTTTCCCTCTTCTCATAACATGGCCAAAAAATGATGACTGTCCCCCTCTGATGTCTGTGATAAGTTGTCTTCGGGCTCCCGCCTCTTTCAAAACCTCTTGGTTGCTCTTTTTGGCTGTCCAAGGTATTCTAAGCTTTTTTCTGTAAAACCACATCTCTGAGGCCTCCAGAAATTGTTTGGCCTGCCTACCGATTGTCCAGGATTCACAGCCATATGTTAAAACTGGATGTATGTAGCAAGCAAGAATTCTTTTTCTAACTCTCAATGACAAGGATATATTGCATAGGATGTTTTTAATTTTATAAAATATCTCTATAGATTTATATATATATATATATATAATTTACTTCATTGTCAACGTATGTCACCATCACCCCCCCCCCCCCGGCCCCAAATTAGAATGCATTTTTTGCCTATTCGATGTATATGAAGATACGATGCTCCTTGCTGGATTAACTTTTAAGAGTTATACAGTACAAAGTTCAAATGTAACCAAACGATTTTTTTTATTAAAACATGTGTTTCTTGCTTTTCACGTAAATTCTGAATAACGACCGTTGCACCAAAAGGGTCATAACGCGCTATAAAATGAGCGTGTATATGTGTAAAAAAAATCACTGAAATGTAACCAATCGATCTTTCATTAAAACATGTGTTTCTTGCAATAAATTATTTAAAAAATACAACGGCACAAATTTGTAAACGCAATATAACAACGTGCCGACCCTTTGTTGGCTAATGGTGAAGGAAACAGATAACATGTGGAAAGGTTCTGGGTGTACTGATATCAATTCTTCCTTTATTTGTTCATTTCTTGATGCCGGCTAGGTACAGTCAACCCTGTTTTTAACACAGTTAGGAAAGGCTTGGAGGAGTAGAGAGGCGTGTTACAAGTTCGAAGTTGTCAGTACTTTGTACCGCCAGAGCAACTGACAAATATTGCCTGGAAAAATCTACTGAAAGTATAACATTTAACAGAAATATAGGGTGGAAAAAAATCTAATTAAAGTAGTAGAACATTAAACGTAGCTATAGGGTATGAAATCTAATCAAAGTAGAACATTAAACGTAGCTATAGGGTAGAAAATCTAATCAAAGTAGAAAATTAAACGTAGCTATAGGGTAGAAAATCTAATCAAAGTAGAAAATTAAACGCATCTATATGGTGTTGGAGGGGGGCGGGGGTGTCTAATAAATGTCCTTACGCACAACTGTAGGGTGGAAAAGTCTCACGACAATAGATTATTAAACCTAACTAAAGAGTAGAGGTAGTCACATCATAGATTCTACCACTAAGGTGTTAATAATTCACGGTTTTAGGGCTACCACACATAAAGTGAGATGTCTTCTAAGTCACTTCACTTCTCCCTCCTATCGAATTCCTAGAAAATTTCGAAAATTCTTGGACTTGGACCTGACGCAAACCAGAACACAATTTCCCTTTAAATGACGAACTCAGCAGCAGCAGAAGAGAAAGAAGAAAAAGGAGGAAGAGGAGGAAGAGACGAAGAAGGAGGAGAAGAAGTAGAAGACGAAAAAGCAGCAGCAGCAGACTGACGCTTCCAAAAATGAATGTGCAAACTAAAGGTCACTAAAAGAAGCCTACGTAGTATCCAGGAAGGATCGAATTGTTTCCCAGACACATTTGTAATGAGTGAATACCATTTTCAGTTGAAAGATAGATCGATACATTTCTACAATATAGTATTTACTAGAGACACCAGGCGGTAACGCAGGGAAGCTGGACGGACAAACCGACAGTTTCACAAATACTAGCATTAAAATTGTGTAATTAACGTACCCATTGAAAAGAGTCTGGCCAACAATTCAGACAAATCCTCTGCGTTATCTTTTTATTAAACAAAAATGCCACGGGCGTATGAAGTTAGGTCTGGGAATTCAAAGGATGCACAATTCCTGGCAATCTGTCAAGGTCTCTTTACTTTCAGAAAAAAATGTTATTCAAATTGAAAAAAAAGTGCTTTCAGGGGATTTAATTCTTTTACATCTTTTTCTCTCTCATTCCTCGCCCTTTCTTCTTTTTTTTTCTCCTCTTTCTCCTACGACTATTACTGCTGCTGCTGCTACTACTGCTACTACTACTACTACTACTACTACTACTACTACTACTACTACTACTACTACTACTACTACTACTACTACTACTATTACTACTACTACTACTACTACTACTACTACTACTACTACTACTACTACTACTACTACTACTACTACTACTGCTGCTGCTGCTGCTGCTACTACTACTGCTACTGCATCTACTACTACTGCTGCTAATACTACTATTATCACTACTACCACCACCACTAACTACTACCAAAATGCTGCTGCTAAAATTAATACTAATTCCACAACCACCACCATCACTACTTCAGCTACTAAGGGTGTTAAGGGTGTTTGTTTTTCAAAGCCGAAGTGCATCTGTTTAAGAGGCAATGAACCAACAGTCTGCACACAAATAAGCCAGATTTGCTAGGCGGATTTGCTGAACGCAAAACTCAAGCTCTTGATTAAGACAGGTGGAACAATTAGAACTTTTCACAAGTTTTTACACCGGTAAACGCCAAGAAACAGAAGAAGAAATGTAGGTATACCTACAGCACATCCCAGCCCTATTAACTAAGACTTAGATTTTGTTGATGATGATTATTATTATCTGCTACAATAATATAGACAAGGAATAATGTATGTACGGAATGAGGCCAGAAGGCTGCAATGTAAAACGGGTCTGTGTGCTCAATTATTAACCTTTGAAAATAAGATTTGTGACTCGTTCCGTATCGTGTCGGATTTTTCTTTGTTTTTTATAAACAGAGGGGGAACCCTTGAAGCCGTATGTATTATGAAATGAGATAAAGAAACATACAATGTATTGACTGGCACTTATAGAAAGAAGTAGAAGGACAGAAAGACACAAGACAATGTAAACATCAAAAGCTGTAGTAACCGTGCCTAGAATCGAACCCGTCACCTCTAAATAGCTTGTACGCCTCGCTGTGGAAACAAGCGTACTAAATTCATGACCAACTAGGCATCCCCCTCCCCCACCTTAAAAAAAAGTGTCTTCATTGGCCATGTCTATCGTACAGCCTTATATCCACGGCTATATTTTTAATCTGGTAATCTGGTAATCTTAGTTTCAACTTCATAGCAAACGGGTCACCCCATAGCTGCTTCGCTCCTGTGAAAACGAAAAACACACGTAGCTCACAGTGTCACGCCATGCACTCAATTCAGAAGCTGGGCGACGAAACTATAGACGTTAGCTCTCCCATGTGAGCCCAGTCTAGATGGATACCAGGAAAAGTTCTGGAAGGTAAAGTCTACAGACTTGACGTTGACCACATCACACATCGAGTGCAGACACATCATTACAAATACGACCCTACCATCATATACCCGAGCCGTAATGGCGTAGTAAAGGTTCTAAGGTAAGAAGTAAAACACTGCCGTACATTTCATTCTAAACTTACTGAAAGTTTTGGGATACTTGAGTGTGGTTGCTAGAGCTACGGAATTCGTGCTTTATTCAAGACTTTTGACGTCAGGAACAGCTGTATGGGATAAAGGTCGGCAAAGTTGATCGTCTTACTTTTAAATATAATTTTCTCTCTCCCTGTTCGCTTACTGTTTCTCTCTCTCTCTCTCTCTCTCTCTCTCTCTCTCTCTCTCTTTCTATCTTTCTCTCTCTCTTTCTCTCTTTCTCTCTCTCTCGGTCTCTTTAATCTTCTTTCTAATTTCTTCTTCCTCTCTTTCATTTGCCACTCCATCTCCCTGTCTCTAGCCCCTTCTCTAAAACTCATGTATCTTTTGCAGCCTCGTTTACCTATACCTTATCAACTTGTAGATATCTCAGTAATAAACTGTATATTTCTTTCCCCACTTCTACAGATCCTTGGCGTCAGCTAACAAACAACATTAGAAGATGTCTCTATGTTTGCTTCTGAGGACTGGAACTCGTCATTCACACCGCTTTCGTGCAGCGAGGAGCTGAAATGTCTGCTACAAAACACCTGATAACCCACATACCCTGACCTAATTTTTATCTTACGTAAACAGGAGTTTATGTCCGGCAGTTAAGTTGATTTGTTAAAATACACACCTGGGATTTTCAAAGAAATTCTTCTGATTAATCAGAAGATACATTTGCAGTTATGTATCCGTGGCTTGAATGTAAAGTTCAACTCGCAATTATTATTCTGCTGTTTATAAGTCAATTTAATTCTTTCAAGGGATGTACTTAACGGCTTTGTTTAATTGGGAAAATGTGCTCGTTTACAGTGATAATTAAATGAGTAAACAAAACAGACATTAGTTGTACAGTTCAAGCAGTACATTTCGACTAGTTTTTTCGCCCGCA